CTGGTGCGCTCGCAAGAAGCTGCAGTGCAAGCGCCCCTGACAGGTCTACTCTCCCACGTTTGCCCTGCATCCCTTCTTTGCTGTCTGCAGCTCTTGCATCATGGCCAGCAAAATCGCCGGTTGACGGTCTGTCGAAGCGTTCGGATCGAGGTTCAAATGATATAAAGGCAGAAAGCTGTGGCATGCTGTGGCCTGTGTGACTGAGGTTTCGAGCCCCAAGTCCGCAAGCTCTACTCTGTGGGTCTGAAAGGAAGGTCACTGCCGCCGAACCAGGCCGGAGCGGTACAGACTTGGCCTTTTCGGCAACCACCGGAGTATCCCGACCATCTCCTGTGCCAGGAACTCATCACTTCTGGCGAAGCAGCCACGACGATGTATTTCATCACATCTGGGGCGGCTTGACCTTCAGGGGGTAACCGAGATCGGCAATGCTGTCCTTCCAGAGATCGCTGTGGGGTCCGTGTCTAAGCGAACTCGAAGCTTTGAGAACACTGCAGGCCTTGAGCTACAAGTGTGACAAGCAGCTGTCACCGCTACCAATTCTGCTGCAAGAAGGCAGGAAGGGCTCTTGGAGGGAGCAAGAGGAGTTTTGGTGTGCAAGCTTGAGTCGACGAGAAGCTCGCGATTGTCTCACATGCCACAGGGTTGGATCTCGCTGCAGCCCATTGGCAGCTTCTGAAGTGTGCAGCGAACATCCACCATGGCCCAACAGTCAACAGTGAACAGAGCCGTTCTTTGGCGGGAAAGCGTTGTGAAAAACAAACGTATCCGGCAATATATATGTATATATATATATACACACAAACATACATTATACATATATATATATATGTATATATATATGAGAGAGACACCTCTAGGGTATATTTAGCGCCTCGCTTCCTCTATATATTTAAATATTTCAATTATTTTAATTATTTGGGATGGCGCGAGAACCCAAATAATTCAAATAATTCAAATACCCAAACCGATTTGAATTATTTGTATTATTTGGATTATTTGGGGGGCCCCGAGAATCCAAATAATTCAAATAATACAAATCGGCCGATTTGTATTATTTGGATTATTTGTATTATTTAGGGACCCCCGAGAATCCAAATAATACAAATAATTCAAATCGGTGGTCCTCAGTCAAGGGAAGCCGGAATCCCAGGGATTTGAAATAATCCAAATAATCCAAATAATACAAATAATCCAAATAATCCAAATCGGCCGATTTGTATTATTTGGATTATTTGTATTATTTGGGGGGGCCCGAGAATCCAAATAATTCAAATAATACAAATCGGCCGATTGTATTATTTGGATTATTTGTATTATTTGGATTATTTGGATTATTCTAAATCCTGGGATCCTGGCCCAGAGCTTGAGCAGGAGGCCGATTTGAATTATTTGTATTATTTGGATTATTTGGGGGACCCCGAGAATCCAAATAATACAAATAATTCAAATCGGTCGTCCTCAGTCAAGGGAAGCCCCAAGCCCAGGGATTTGAAATAATCCAAATAATCCAAATAATACAAATAATCCAAATAATACAAATCGGCCGATTTGAATTATTTGTATTATTTGGATTATTTGGGGGCCCCCGAGAATCGAAATAATACAAATAATACAAATACCCGGCATTTGAATTATTTGTATTATTTCGATTATTTGGATTATTTGGATTATTCTAAATCCTGGGATCCTGGCCCAGAGCTTCAGTAGGAGGCCGATTTGAATTATTTGAATTATTTGGAGGCCCCCGAGAATCGAAATAATACAAACAATT